ATACTATTTCATTGTGTGATACATCTAATAAACAAACTAATATGGAATTACTTACTACCACAATGCCGAAGATTTACACATATATTAAAAGTCTACATCCTTCACTTATCTAGGTGAGATCGTTTCAACTTTAGGCAGAACGGATTATGATGTCAAAACCCGAAGCCGGGAAAGCAGCTTGGAAATTTGCTGTACACAGTCGGCATAAAGAATAAGATTTGAATTTTTCGATACCAATGTTAAATCATTCAAGTGTTCTACATTGGTCAGAGGTTTGGAGTGTCATCAATAGCATCTTTAACAACTGAAGATAATATGGGCGGTTAGAAATGATTAGCGGCAATAAACTCTGGGAAGGAACCAACAACCACTAACCTATTTTCAAGAAATATTCCAAAGAAAATGGAGATGGATTTGATACACACACAGAGGAGACCGTTGGGTGACATCAGGCACCAGACCCTTGAGTGGAAAACAATGAATCTTCCGTTGAACAGTGAAATAAAAGAGATTACGTGAGAAGGATATGGAACCTTATGGACAGCTTTCTAGGCTGGCTGGAGAGGACTTCACAAAACTACGCAAAGTGGAGATGTGCTGCTGAAGCCTTATATTTCATTTGGAACTCATGGGGATAATGATACTAAGAAACCATTTGACGTTAATTTAAAAAGTCCCCAACAATGGTATATCTCATAGGTTGCTGACCAGATTCCCCCATTGACCGCTTCAATTCAATCAGCTGTACCACAAAAGATAAGATACATAACACTGATCACTACTGTATACCTGAAGCAGCCTAATTGGGGACCTGCAAAGCTGGTTTAAATCTCAGCAGAGATATCAGCTCCTTCAAGGTTGTAGATGCATTTTGCTGATATTAACGAACAAGCATGAAACCTAGTACACTCAGTGCTTTCTGCTGATAACCTCCAATCATGCGATATAAAGTGTACGCCGGTGGTACAGAAAGAGAATGCTTACCAACCATGCCTCATGTGTTCTGGGGTTCGATCCCCGGCCACCAACGCACTCCTCCTTTACCTCACTAATCCAGTATCAAGACTGGTAAAGAGAGAAGGTTTAGCATGAGGCTAGCCATGAGGCCATCGCTTAAAAGTAATAAATACCACTGCTACTGAAACTTCAAACCTGTAGCTTAAGGCCGTATGTTTTACTGGGAACGTAAAGAGATTTAAAAATAAATGCAATATGAACCAGCAAAATGTTCAAAGTACATCATCGTATATTTTTCTAAATACCTATATTCGCATTGCGTGTGTTCACGCTGAAACACTGCAGGATTCCTGGCTTCACACCTAACCCTCCCCTCTTCTCTGGCTGAAGAACTAACTATACAAGGTTTTAGAGTAATTGGGCCGGGGATCTTACCCAAACATCCTCCGTGGTTTTATATATTATTATTTCCTTGAATTCCTAGAGGAACATAAGGCTTCAGCCCCCACACGTCTCCATTGCGTTCGGTTCTCTGCCAACGTTTTCACTTGGCCCCAAGTCACCCTACATGTTTTCATCTCCTCTTCACATGACCTCCTCCAAGTCACCATTGCACTGACGACCAACTCACCGCTTCCCATTCGTTCGAATTTCACTCGAGGGCTTATCTTGTGATGTCACTTGATGTTACTTCCATTTCTTTCTGCCTGCTTGTTGCACAATCAGTTCCTAGTTGGTTTGATCATTGCCAGAGATCCCTGTTGCTGATCTTTTCTGACCAACCATCTGATCTTGAGCAGTAGTGAGCGAAGACAACTGTTGATGAAGGTGTGTAGTTTGTTTGAGATGCTCTTTATGACGCGCTGGCCAAGTCTCTGATCCGTATAGTAACACTGACTGACTTAACATTGGAGTTGAAAATCCGGATCTTATTTTTCATGCTGAGTGCCGTTGACCTCCACACAGACTTAAGAGTAATGAAAGCCTGTCTTGCCTTTCCGATCCTCACGGCTTTGATATCCTCGTCAGTTCCGTTCGCCTGTAGTTGAAACGATGCTTCCCAGTTAGGTAGGTGGGTAGGTAGGTAAATGAGGTTGTTTCTTTCAGGTTCCTCCCATTTATGCTGGTTGATTGTTGTCTGTTGTTTTTATTGCTGTGGCTGTTGATGTTGGCCAAGAATCTTTATCACCTACCTCTGTTTTCTGTATGTTCACCTGAAGGAAGTCCTATCTTTGATGCTTCTTCTGCGGTTTTATATATACATAAATATATATATAAACCAAAGTTTTCAAAACATACATAGATCCACTTATCCAACTTAACAGTTAACTATTCTGTTTCTCATATCTGATAACTGTTCATTATGAATGTATGTATGTATATATATAATCATTATTATGCAAGGGTTAATTATTTCTCACTAGACCATTCACAGTGTTGTCGAATTTCAGACGGAAAATAATTCTCACGAAAAAGGCATATAATGAAAAGAATAACATACATAACAGATATCATTAATTTATTTCATTTTCTTGTTGTTATTATCATCTTTTTTCCGCTTCTCTCCTTCAGACTAACAATCAAAATCACTGCACAGGTAGGTTAGTCGTTCTATCCTTCTGGATAATGGCGGTGAACAACCCTACCCACCATATAGGCGGGGAGAAGAAAAGCACGTGTGTTTTATTTTTAATATTCCAGTATGCTTGTTTCACAGTATATATATATACATCGCATTTTCTTGTGTCTTTTCAGTGAATAAACAGTCTTATCAGAATTTCGGTGTAGATGTCGTTCCCAAACAATATCAGTTAAAGAAGTGATTGAAAACTAGGAAGCATTAGGCAGTCGTTTTTTCATAGTTAGGGATTCTTCGACAGCTCACATAAACTACTGCACCAGGGATTAAACTCAGCGCCTTCAGGATATGAGGTCATCTGTTAACCATTCTGCTACCAGGACTACCAGATTCAATGACTCTGAGACATTCGTCATGAAACAAATGGCTAAGAGAGTAGAGAAGAATTCTTGCGTATCTTCTAACAATAAGATTCTATATATATATTACTAGTATTTGCTTGATTTCCGAGTGGCTTCCACAGAATATCTCCATTTCACTCTCCTCATTGTAATCCTCTTCAGCTGGCCTCATGATTTGTTGTTTTCCACTTGTGTCTGTTGTTCAATATCTCCTAACAGTCTCCTCAGTGTGTGTCCAATCTATCTCTATTTTCTTCGGCATATTAGTTAGGTGATAGGTTGTTGGGTTTTTTTTTTGTTGCAATAATTCCTTGTTACGATTTCATTTTGGCCATCGGATCCTCAACCAGGAACAAAGGCAGCTGTTGATGATAGAAATCCCCATTTTGAAATGTAACGGTGCACCAAGTGAACTAATAGCTGTAACTAGAAGGTTCAAGGTTCAAATCCCGCAGTATGGGAGCGTACTGATGAAGAGTCCCAAACTAGGGGGACGAAACAGCTGTCCAGTACTCCAATGATCCTCTAACCGATGTCAATTCATGATGAAATCTTGTAACTTATAACAAAGCAAGTTGGGAAAAGCCGATTTGAAGCAGTTTTAATGTCCCGTAAGCTGAAACTCATATCTTTCATATGACCGGTTACAATTCCAAGATAGAAAGATGAAATGCCTAGACTAGCCACTTCTTATTATATCTGCCAATTTAACTTCTCTAATGTGGAGGCATTAATATCTACCGTTGCTCTGGAAACTCAATTTCTATCATCTTTCGAATGCCAAATAAATTGTCAAAGTACTCTAAATATTGAATACTCCAAACAGTAAAGGCCAATACAATTCGTTTAAAAATACCCGGAATCTTGTGTGCAAACGAAATAGGTCCAGTCAGTAGCTATCGCCACATTGGCCTACTGTGGAACCTATACATTCATAAATTCTGTACTGGCATTTTTTTTTAAATTCATCTGATATTCAGTGAATTTGTATGCCTATTATCACACAAAGATGCTTTCAGACTGTAAACTGTTATTATTATTGATTCAATGTCATTTGAAACTTTAATGTTGTGAATAACAATCATTCTTTAATTATTACGGGCATACAGGGACTTTAGAATCTGAAGGAGAACTTATCGAAAAGAATATTCTTTGTTCACTAACTAATCAGCCTTTTTTAAAATCTTTAATGAATATCCTGAATTAATTCTGATAACTTCGGCCTATGATGTAGTGCAATCGCTAACCAATGCCATCGACGAGAATCCACTTCACCTTGGCACAGGGGACCCCAGTGTTCAAGACTTTTAATAATAAGCTCATGACATCTGATATTTAGGTTATGAGTTTTGTAGGGATTTAGATTTTACCCCTGATGAAGTCTTGGATGTTTACCGATGAAAAGTTCTTAACTAGGACGAAATAGCTAACTGTCCAATTGTGGTGATTGACAATTTTTCTCTCTGTATTGTTTAAATACTTACTGTTGATTGTTAATATATTTCTTATATGAATTGCAATAATAATTCCGCTAAATACAAATTCCTGAATTCCGCCCTCTCTGTGTTTTGATTGGATTCTTGTAATTCGGTCATCTCGAAATACTAATACTACGATTACAAATAATTACAACACCAATGCTACCTGATTTTCAATGATTCTTTGGCTGATGGAGGTTCACAAAGAAGTCTCCATGGAAATTAATCCAAATAGAACATATTTATTCAGGTGGTACTTAGGAGTAGAATCAGAGACTTGTCCGTTTCGTCCTAATCAGGACTTGTCATGTGGGCATACTTTCTCTCTCTCTGTCTCTCTCTGTCCAATGAATGATGGTGTTCCCTCTGGGACTTGAACCCGCTACCCATCGCTTCAAACTTCAGAGAGTTATCCCCTAAATTACTGGGCTAAAAAAGCCACCTTTGTTCAAGAGTTACCTATGGCTGTTTTACTTCAATATGGCAAAGTTGCCCTGCTAGAAAATTAATCCCACAAAAATAAAACTGTTAAAATTTTAAAATATCCCCAATTAGCTTAAAAAATTTATCATATCATCAACTCACCTGTTTTATTCTCATACTTAGGATTATATCGAAAATAATTAATATGTTGGGGATTATTTCCATGAGTCAAATTATCGTCATCATCGTCTTCTTCTTCCGCGCCAGCGTCATCATCAGCATTGTGACTGCCATCATTACCATCATTCTGATCCCCATCAACATTCACTGGTCGTAGTGCTGATGATGATTGTTCGTTAACATCAACTTGTATACTTTTCATCGAAGAATTTACTATTTTCTCAACTGGTGTCTCTTTCTGTTGTTGGACAGTAGTAGTTTTATATTTCTGTACAAATGCATACAAAAGTTTATCGAAGGCATTTTCAGTCAATTTATTCGAAGATTTGATGAATTTCTTCTGATTTTCATTATTATTATGATTATTATTTTCAACTTCAACAAAATTTTGAATAATTCCCAATAATAATAATAATATTAATAGTAATGATAATATGGAGAAAGTTCTATTCAATAAAAAAATAGTGAACATGTGTGTGAGAGAGAGTGAACGTATCCTTTCAACGTCTTGTTGCTCTATGAATGCTTAATATCATTCATTATATAAAGTAGGCATTTAAAACTGGCGCCAGAAATTATTTTTATAGCGTTAATAAAAATAAATATGACTTAACTTGACTTGATTGAATATTGGTTGTTTAAATTAGTAAATAATTCAAGGTCATTGTGACGAATCAGCCAATCAGAATGCAGGTTAGGCGATTTCAACGAGTATTTAGACTATTCGAATAATTTTACTGATTGTTAGATTATTGTTGACAGCATTAGATTAGTAGAATTCCTTAGTTTCAAGAAAAAACTGTTTTCTTATATTTCACCAATTCAGTATGTGAGAAGATTATATATATATATATATGGTAACGAATAGATTTTTGTCCACCGACAGCTAGAGTGTCTTGGCTATACATATATAATATACATAGTGAAAACGTGTAGATAGATCAGGCGCTAAAGGATAAATCGTTTTGTAGGTTGAATGATTGTTCATTAAAAAAAAACAAAGATTTCACCATCTTATGTTCACTTTTTATAAACCAGGTCGTATTTAAATCCAGCTCAGTTATTCTTTGTTTCTAATTATCATCACTAACTACTATTATCATTGCTATTGGAATTTTAATTAAACTTTTGGTAACATTTGACCTACTTTAAAAATGTCTTAACATATTAATTCACTTTAATTTAATAATCTTTTAAAGTTTTCTAATTTATCCAATTTAACCCTACCGACCTATAATTATTTCTTTTTATTTCAATTACTTTTATTATTACTATCATTGTTATAAATCTATTTTTTAACATTTAAAATCAGGAATTCTATAGACAAACTGATGGTGCGGCTATGAGGTCACCTATAGGAACCAGGTTTAGCCGACATTTTCCTTTGAAAGGTATAATTGATGAACTATAGTTTTCTTATCGGTACATATTGATGATATCTTATTGTTTTGATTATGAGAAATGAGAATTCAGGAAGTGAATAATGATCTTGACAAATTTATTAATATACATCCTAAAATAGATGTTACCATTGAGAGAGAATAAAAGAGGGAACAATAGTCATTCATTCCTAGATCTGCTTATGACTGGGAAAAAAGATGATATAATATGAAGGAATATATATATATATATTCTTTTTGATAACTTCATTATCAGGTTCTACAGTTGTATATATACGTAATAGTGAATGATATTAGATGGTTGGAAGCAATCGGCTACAGGAATCCGTCTATCCCACCTACGTTTCATGCTAGTTAGCACTCACCAGTCAGTTAGCAAGGCGTATCTGCAACCTTGAAGTAACTCATGTCCATTCTGAGATCCGAACCCGTGTCCCCCATTGCTGCCTGAAGTCTGAGACGTTATCACCGAGTTATTCGGGCTTGCGATTAACCTACTGTAGGACTGGACACTAGTAACTAACTAATGTGATGTTTCTAGTCCTTTCTTCGGTGAAAACTGAATTCTATTAGTCAGGTTTACAATGTGGCCAGCATTCTAGGTGGCTCGCCATCACGGTGCACATTGATTTCATGATATTAAATGGTTGGAGGTAATCGGCAAGAAGCCTTGACGGCTTCTGGGCTTCGTGCTAGTTACCACTCGTCAGCAACGCGTATCTGCATAATAACAGTGAATGAATTAGTGTTATCAACAACACTAATGTTTAAATAATACTCAATCAATAGTAATACCAATGGATTACATTTCAACAGCATCAATAAAACAACACTCTTAATATCGGAAAAATTAGGAAAGGCAATAATACAAATTCATGAATTTATAGTCTCCACTGAAATCTGGCCAGGGCAGTAGTAATGGCTGGTTGACCGAGAAGTAATTTGGAAACTACTTCAACACTGCGGCGTGCAGTTTCCATCTCTTTACCAACCTTATTCAACAGCTGGCTGTATGGAAGTGCCACGTGCCAGGTGATCCACAAAGGAAAACTCAGCGAGGAGTTCGAAGAGCATGCAAGAGTAAGATGAGGCTGGCTGCCTATTGTCACAGATGATATTCATAATTGTGGCTGTAAAAGGAATGCCGATAAAATGCATTGCACTGATCAAGGCACTCTACTAGATTTCATGCAGCCAGGTGGGAGCTTACGGCAAGTTTTCGTCCAAACTAATGACAACTAGTGGTGCCCAGCAGGGATGACCACTATACCCATTTCTATTCACTTCCATCATAGATGTACTAGTGGACTTAACCCTAAATCACTTCAGAGACTCAGGGACTGACTTGCTACTAGGGAGTAATCTCGTTGACTTAGAATATGCAGACGACATAGTCCTCCCTCCTGGGTGAAGACGCTGACAAAATGCAGAGTCTTCTGAACACCTTGAGCTGCACTCTACGAATGTTTGGCATGCGATTCGCTCCCGCAAAATGTAAGTTGATGTTACAGGACTGGACTACACTGACTCCTAGCTTATAAATAGGAAGTGAAGTGGTAGAGCACGCTCACCACTTCACTTATCTGGCAAGCTGCATCAGCCCCTTACGGCATGATCTCTGAAAAAATCTCAGCACAGATTCAGAAGGCTCGTTTCGTATATGCCAGTTTACGCCGTCTCTGGCGTAGACGTGATATCCGGATGGCTGTTGACCAAAGGGCGTGTGCATTGCGCATTAGCAGTCCGCTCCGTCCTCCTGTATGGCTGGCTGTGAGACCTGGCCAGTTGGAGTGGAGGACATGAAAAGGCTAGTTGTCTTTCATCACAGGTGCCTGCAGTCTATCTCCCATTTGAAGTGGTATAATAGGGTGAGCAATATTGAGGTTAGGCACCAGTCGAGTGTTAGGTAAGGAGAAGAAATCAAGCGACGAGGCTTTGAAGTTACATCGACTGAAATGGTTAGTACATATGTTACCCAGGCTTAGTCTAGTCTTCGCCTTTCTCGACGGGCAGTGTTAGCTGACACAGGGTCAGTTTGGAAAAGAGAAAGCTACTGATAGTCAAAGCAAAACATGACTTCATCAGTCAATGAAATCCACAACAGTTAGTTTAAGCCACGCAGGGAAGTGTAGGTTTCCTGGTTGGGGTCCTTTGGACGGTAAAAACCAATTAAGGCTGGAGACAATTCATGGTGATATGGCTCCAAGTCGTTCTCGACGGCTGGCGCAGTTGCATTAACTCCTTGTGACTTATAATACTCCATAAAACTGTATTGTTCTTCGATATTAATATTCTTTTTTTGCCGCATATATATCTGTTTTTCAATATCTCTATTTTGCGTTTCTCTTTACTTTCTTCTCTGGCTCTGTGCGCTAAGTGAAGTGTGGCAACTCGAACTGCTGCACATCAATGCAAAGTTCTATGTTGAAACCAGTCAGTCAGTCAGTCAGCACTGGATTATGCGTCAGGCTGTGCACAGGGAGCAAGGAGACAGGAATACACTAGACAACCGATAAAAAAGACTCTAGAAGATCTGGATTCCGTGCGTGAATCATTTATATTTAATTTCACACAAACTAGAATACTTGAGGGCAAAAAGAGGTGATTAGCAAAGACAGGATTCCAGGTGAACATTAAGAAGAAGACGGAGGGGATGAAGGTGACCAACCAACAGCGACAGCAACAACAATAACCAGCACCAGCCACAATCAATAGGAGAGATTTGACAGAAGTTACCTCCTTCACTTGCACCACGTGTGACAAAAAGGATTTTTAACAGGTGACTGTAGACTTTTATCAACAGCTGCCTTCACTTACCCCACAGTGCTGATCGAATTGTTGGCCGGCCAGAAAGAATTAGCAACAAGAAACTCTGACTGGCAACAAACGAACCAAGATCCGATCGCCCAACATATATGTGAGAGAAAATGGAGATGGGTCGATCGAGCATACATTGAAGAGGCTGCCGAATGACATTGAGCGCTAGGCCGTTGATTGGAATTCATATGAGAGGCGACTAGTGGGTAGTTTATATACATATATATATCCTGTTTTCCGTAACATAACAATAATAACAATTTCGCTTTATTCCAGAAACAGAACTTGTGGTACAGTGTGGAATTTTGAGCACATATCTACAATATTACATCTAATTTCATCGTACATTAAAAAGGAGTATTACAAAAAAGAATAAATATAAAATAACACGACAAAAATAAACCAAAAAACGAAACACACAAATAACAAAGAAAAACAAAAGAAAAGAAAAAAATAAAAATACCAAGTAGAAAGGAAGATAAACACTAATAGTGAAAAAAATATTTCAGTACTGGGTAATGGAAGCTATGATATGTGTATGCGTGGTGAACAGTAACAACTATGATCACACAAGAAATTATGAGATGTTCTTAAGAATGTTTATAGCCAAGATGATCACTTAATTTGATTGAACAACTCTAAACAATCATAAGATAATCATTTCAGTTGTGTTTTTTTTATTGTCAGCACTAATGCAGTGTTAGTAGTCGTGGTAGTGTTAGTAATCATCCATAATACAAAATTTTTAAGATGGTGATAGTGGCAATAACAAACAAGATTGTCAGTTAAATAGTGCCGAACAAAGAACAACCACAAAACTAATGTTACATAATGGTTAATGACAGGACAATTTTTAATAATCACAGTGATAATATAGTCGGACCCAGTAAATATACAAAAGAAGGAATAGAGTAAAGTACAAAAAAAGTAAGCCAACGATAATTAATTTTAAGCAGCTAAGTATGTTTAAGAAGGTTGTTCACTATAGAGTACAAATAAGAGAGTATAAGGGGGAAATAACAAGGGCCAAAATTATGTTATTAACAACAAAGCAAGTCACATGAATACGATTATACAACTGCTTGAAAATGAAATCGTGCTGAAGAAAACCATTTTTTGAATATCACGACCTGACTGGAGTTGAAATTCATGGATCATTTGATCAGATCCCATTGGCTTAATAGTCTACGAGCTAGTTTTGCAACTGGAAGGTACTACTGGGTTTTGAAATCAGTGGGTGCATACCGCTGAAGAGCTCAGCGCTAGGATGAAGCAGTTGTACAATACTCCCAGATAATTTTTCAATGATTCTCTAGCTGATATCAGCTAGAAACTAATCACAAGATCGGTCTCATTTAGTAGGATCTCATGAATATTGTACAA